CCAGTGAGTCGATGGCGCCCTTTCCTGAGAAGAGGCTGCACCAAGTTGTGGGTGTCCGTTCACAGGAGACTCAGCAGGTGGCTGTCCTGCACAGAGCACCAGACAAGGACCGGAGGAGGCAAGTTGGGTGACGAGGCAGAACCCCTAGGGACAGTTCAAAGGTATATCTGCAAATAAGCTTTCATTTTCTCCACTCCATATGATTATTATTTGATGTCCCCAGCCCAGTGATCTTGCAATTCACTGAGCGCCTCCTGTTCATTCCTTCTTTGAATCCCAACAGCTGGGTTTTCCACAGGTAACCATAATGTCGTCAGACTCCCCGCAATTAGACTTGTATTAGAAATGCGTATGCGGAAAGCTGAACTGATATTTATATCCACTGAATCCACAACCAAATTAAAAAGAAACGCAGCCACTCTAAGTTCAGCTCTGCGTTGGAAAGGCAACTGAAATCAACGTCATCTGGTGGGGGCTCACCGGGGCCCAGAGGTCAGGAGTCCTTCAGCCCAGCCCAGTCTGAGTGGGGTGACCTCGGGGTCCAATCCAGGTCTCCCTGAGTTCAAATCTGGAGTCTGTTCACATGGGCCTTTCCAAACCTCACTCGCAGTACCCTTGTTTCCCCCACCGCCCTCATGAGACCCCCCTAAATGAAATCTATACCCTTTGACCGAGCCACAGCGTCCTCAGAGGTGAGAAGGATCTTGGTTCTGGACCCGGGTGCCAGGCAGTGTGGTCAAAGGCTTTGAAAGTTATCTGCTTCCGGCTTTGCAGGGTAACACCCCCCTCTCCCTTCCTAGTGATTACAGGGAGCGTGCTCGTGTGCAGATCCCAGGCGTCGTGCGTTGCCCGATTTACTTCCTCTCACCTACCACCTGAGCAGAGTGAAAGAGAAGCGCACCTGTCATGGACGGGAGGATGCCGGTTTCCATCCAGGGGCAGATGGGCAGGGCCTGTCCTTTCTTTGTCACTGTCATGAATGAGTGGGTGTGGCTGGTGCTGCCTATGTCGTGACATCACCTGGCAGCTGTGTAATGATGCAACCATGGCCCACGAGGAGATGCGATCACCTGTCAGTCACGGCCTTACTCAGGGGACACAGTCCTGATCCGATGTGAGGTGCCTCTGGGTGAGGCCTGCACCCCTCTTGATTTTACAAGAGACAAAGGAGGAGGAAATCGTGCAGAGGGGAATCTCAGTACCATCAAGAATCGAGAGCCAGAGTGAAGCGTGTCCTTTGGACCCAGTGTCCCTGTGCTGAAAACCTCCCTTACCCAAAGGAGGATTGACGCCAAGACACAAGAGCCTCCGGGAGCAGTGCACCCACAGATGTGGAAAGGAGACAAGGACCTCCCCCCAGAGTCACAGATAGAGAAAGCCTTCCCCTCCAACTGGCACCTGACCCCAGACTTGTATCCTCCTAAACTTGACGGGGGAAGACAATAAATGTCCGATTGTTAAGCCCCTCGCTGTGGTAGGCTTGTGACAGCATTCTTCCAGACTGATCATTTTAAACCACACAGGGTTCATGGGAGCGGTTTACTTGTCTCACCTCTTACTGCCTGGTAACCTTCTCCCCACAAAGCCTTTTAACGATGCTTCCAAATACAGTCAGAAAGCAATGTGTCGATGCAATGAGCACTTCATTTCCCTGACTGTCAGGTCACCTCGTTCTAGAAATTTACCCTCCACTGTGTACTCAGAATTCTTTTCTCACCTACCCCACCCCCCACTCCACTAGCACCCCCTCCCTCACCCACCACAGAGCCTCCCTCCACACACAGCCACCTCGCTGGTAAACAGACTCTCCCTCCCTCTCTCCTCTCAGCCTCCAACCCATGTGCAGAAACCTCCCCTAGGTGTCTGCTGTCCTAAGGACACACAGGAACCTGGCTGCATATGACTGGACCCGTGAGGATGACCTTAAGGATTTCAAATGACTGAAAATGATTTTCAAACAATCAAACCCAAATCATTGGTACTCCAACTAACCAATCAAGTCATGATTCAAGTATTTCAAATAGTACTATTGGTAGGAGGAATGCTACTATTTAGAAGTAATACTACTATTAGTCATTGACCCCTCAGAAACAAAACAAAAAACCCTCACTGTCACCAAGTCACTAGACTCACAGCGACCCTACAAAAAGGTGCAGAACGCTCTCTGTGGGTTTCTGGGACTGCAAATCTTTCCACGAGTAAAAAGCTTCCACCTTCTCCCTAGGAGTGCCTCCTGGTGGTTTTGAACTGCTGACCTCGTGGTTAGCAGCCCAACACATATCCCACTATGCCACCAGGACTCCTTATAATGAACTCCTAACTCACCGAAAGGCCACCTTGAAAGCCCTGCTCACACAAATAAACTCTTGTGTGTAAGCCTTGAAAACACCTCCACCCCACCCCTACCTCCAGGAGGCCCTCAGTCTGCAGGCCCAGAGCCCAGCTCCCGCCCCAGAAGACGGCGCCCAAGGTACTCACTGCAAATCGGACTTGGCAGTTCTCCTCGCCCAGGTAGCACAGGTCCCCCGAGACGTTGGTCTCCAGCCACAAGTGCTCTCCGTTGATGGCGTTCTCCTGGAAGGGAGGGAGGGGCCGCTTTACCTGCTGTCCTCTCCAGGAGATCTGGGGAGAGCTTCCAAACCAGCTCTTAGAGTCCAGAGAGCCAGGGAACCCGGAGAGTTGACACTCGCATCAGTCAAATGCTGCTGCGCTTGCCCCTCAGGGGGCCTTGTGGCACACACAGTGGATTACATGTTGGGCTGTTAACCACAAGGTCTGCGGTTCAAATCCACCAGCCTCTCCTCCGGAGAAACAGGAGGCTTTCTGCTCCTGTAAAGAGCTACGGTCTTGGAAACCCATCAGAGCAGCTCTACTCTGTCTTATTAGGGCACTAGGAGTCAGAGTTGAGCTTGGTTTTGGGGGGTGGGGGTTGCTCCTAACACCAAATTCTGGAGTTGCTGTGTGTCCTTAGTCCATTCTACCTCCTGATGACTGTGTTACTGTGCAGAACCAGCCTGAGGGTTCTTTATGGGGGCAGACTGCTCCTGGTCTTTCCCTCCATGGAGTCCCTGGTTGGGCTCAGCTACTGACCGTGTGGTTGGCGACCAAGCCCTTAGCCACTGTGCCACCTGGGCTTCGTCACCCCAATTCTAGAAACCCACAGAACTGTCTAGGAAAGACACTGGGCTAGACCTCAACCCCGACAGACACTACCATAAGCCTGATAGATCACCCAGCAGGCAGCAATCTGGAAAATAAGCAAGGGGAGAAGAACAAAGAAAACTGTCACTGGTTCATCCCCAAATGAGCCTTTACTTAACAGGGGGTCTAAGAAAAGGCGAGCGATGGCTATTTGGAAATTCTTCTATGCCAGTGATGGGTAAGCTATGCTTCTGAGGGCAGCAGATCTCATAACTGCGTCGAAGCTGCTGCAGACTCAAAAACAGATTAGTAATAAAATCCAAACCAAGAGGAGGGAATGGTATAACAGCTTACATTCTAAACACCCTGTTTGCAGAAAGCTATGGATGCAGCTATCGATGCAGAACGCTATGGATGATTGTACTCTGATTATTTGCTGAGCAAATCAAGCTGGATTCTATAAAGACGAATGTGGCATCAGGATTAGAGAAAGGCTTATTAACAGCCTGCAATATGCAGATGACACCACTTTGCTGGCTGAAAGTGAGGGCTATTTGAAGCACTTGCTGATGAAGGTCAAGGATGGCAGCCTTCGGTATGCATTACAAGTGAACCAATAGGTCACAAATGACGTATTGCATTGGGAAAATCTGCTGCACGAGACCGACCTCTTAGAAGGTGGAAGAGCAAGGAGGTTACTTTGAGGACGTAGGTGTGTCTGACCCAAGCCATGGGATTTTCAGTTACATGCATGTGAAAGTCGGACCCTGAATGAGGAAGAGCAAAGAAGAGCTGATGCATTTGAATGGTGGTGCTGGTGAAGCATACTGAAAGTCCCTGCCAATGGGACAAGCACACCTGTCTGGGAAGAAGTGAGGCCAGAGGGCTCCTTAGAGGCAAGGATGTCAAGACTTCCTCTTACACGCCTTGGACGTGTTGTCAGGAGATACCAGTGCCTGGAGAAGGACTTCCTGTTCGGTAAAGCGGAGGGGCGGTGAAAAAGAGGAAGCCCCTCCAAGAGATGGATGGACACCGGGGCTGCAACCATGGGCTCCGGAACAGGAACGGTTATGAGGGTGGTGCAGGACCGAGCCATGTGGCCTTCAGGGTAACTATGGGTCAGAACCGACTCAGTGGTGTCTAGAACATGGGTGCTAGGGGCCCGCAGTGCAGGGATGTGAACAGCCTCACGGTGTAGCAGACACTGTCGTCACGAGGATTTGGGCAGGTGCCAACGTGGAACCCCTGACCCTCTCATCTCCCTCTCGACCCATTTTAGGTTTATCTAATATTGTCAGCTTTCTTTTCGATAAGGTTTTTCTGTTTTATTTGCTCATTGTGAGTGGGTGCTTTTTTGGTTTCTGTCTTTGTTTTAAGGAGCCCTGTGGTCTCGTGGTTCCCCGTTGGGCAGCTGGAAACCGGCAGCAGCTCCCCAGGAGAAAGACTGGGCTCTATTCCTGCAAACACACGCAGTCTCGGAAACCCACAGGGGGTTGCTGTGAGTCAGCATTGGCTCGATGGCGGGAAAACGGTTTTTGTTTTGATCTTTGTGTTGTGCTTTTTCTGTGTAGGGACGTCAGGATAGGTCAAACCATCGAGACAGTACCTGGATTTATCATCTCCTAAGGGCACGGAAGGGGAGGCTGTGGAGAAAATGGGAAGTGAACAAGCAAGAGTACAAGAAAGAAGAAAATGTTCTAAAGTTGATTGTGGTGAGGATCGCACAACTCTTCCTAACATGAGCAAGCAACTAAACAGTGCGATGTGTGAGTTATATCTCAATAAACCACTGTACTTGTTTAAGTCACAGATGTCTCCAAATTCAGGCATTTTACTAACTCAGTCTGACTCAAACTGGATCGCTTTACTGCTTCTAAAAATGTTGTGCACTTCTGTGATATAGGTGTATCCAGAACTGCAAGGATATGTTATCTGAGCAATAATCTATTGTCAAGAAATTCTCATGTTCCCTGGGGGAATCGGGTGGTGACAGCACTGATTTTGAACAGTGGGATGTATAGGAGTCCAGATGCTTTCAACCAACCAAATCCCTTGGGAGAAGACCCATGCCACACCCACCCCCTGCCCTGGAATCGTTTCCAACACAGCCACCCTATAGCGGGTGTCCCAGACAGCCTCATCTTTCTCTCCTGGAGTGATCCGTGGGCTTGAACCACCAACCTTGCCTTTGATTGCACTCAGCCAAGCCATCAGGGCTCCTTTAGAAACTTGACAGAGAGTAACTGGGTACATCATAAAATCCAAAGCCAGAGAGGGGAATGGTATTAGAGCTTAAATTCTAAACACGTGTTTTTTTGGAAGGCTATGGATGATAGTGGAAGCCCCAAATCCATTTGCAGTGTCCCTCTGTGGACTGTCTCCAGTGAAGCCCCTCTGACCGCAGCCCAGGGATGTGACTGGCTTCAGACGGGCCCTGAGCTCTAAGGGGGAAGCCGGTGCTTGTTTATCCAGAAAGAAACCCAAGCACGCCTGCAGGCTTGACCAGAAAGTTGCTCTTGCTTTGATCTTATCCAATGTGTGCACATGGGCACATGATTCGTTTTTCATGAGGCATGATTTCAATCCTAGAATGAAACATTCAGAATACGTAGGGCATGTTATCAAGAGAGACCAGCCCCTGGAGGAAAATATCTCGCTTGGTAAAGTAGCGGAGCAGCGGAAGCAGAGGAAGACCTTCGACAAGATGGACGGACACAGTGGCTGCATCGATGACCTTGGACATGAGAGCAATGGTGAGGACGGTGCAGGGCCAGGCAGTGTCCTGTTCTGTTGTGCACGGGCTCGCTGTGCATCTGAACCAACCTGATGGCACCTCACAACAACAACAACAACAGGTCACTCACTATGAGTTGAGACAGACTTGACAGCAGGGGGTTGGACTGCGGGAGGGGTCGTCCACCTTGTTCCTTCAGATTCAAGCGGGAACAGTTTTCCTTCAGGGCTGAGAGCCTCAAGTCTCCTCAGACAGAAAAACTCAAATGGCCTCTTGTGACTTGTGGGCTCCGCGCCCTGTGAGCCACTTCTATCTCTTCAAGTCCATTAACTAATTGTATCCCATCAAGAGATACAGTCCGGGAAACCCAGGGGGCAGTTTGACCCTGGATTAGAGGGTCACGGTGAGTCAGAATGCACTCAAGGGCCGTTGGCGATGATCAAGTTGATTGAGTTGAGACTGCCCAGGGCCCAAGACTGGCTGGGCTTTCCACGTCTCTTTTTGTACAAACCCGAGAACTGAGGGGGGAGAGAAGCCCGGAGGAATTCCATGGAAAGAGACATGACATATAGACGCGTAGTGAGCACAAGCTCACGGGGAGCCCTGCATGTCCCAAACCAGACTCGCTGCCGTCTAGTGGATTCTGACTCACAGTGACCCCTACTGGGCAGAGGAGAACTGCCCCTGTGGATTTTCCAGACTGTCACTCTTTATGGAAATCAGAAACCTGGCCTTTCTCCCTCGGAGTGGCTGGTGGTTTCATACTGCCAACCATCCAATTAGCAGCCAAATGCATAACCACTATGCCGTCAGGGCTCCTCGACCTCATCAGTATATACGAGCACACTCAAACTTGCCCACACTTTACCTAGCAGGCTCACTTCTCGGGGTGCACCCTAAGGCAGTAAGGCTAATGCAAGGAACGTGAGGTTCATAAGAGATTTGTTTCTGCCACCCAAGAGCCCAAAGCCCTAAGTGCCCCAGTGCCCAGTGAGGAGGATGACAGACGTATGGAATGAAACAGGTGAGGGCAATGTCATCAAGAGCCACACCTACGGAGGGAGACCCGCCAGCGGAAAGCTGAGTGAAGCCATGCCAAGCGAATGAGAGAGAAACTCAGACCCGGCTGTGTGTGCGAACAACTGCGATCACCACTCTGCCTTAAAAAATGAGCACAGAAAAAACGGCGGCACCTTGGTCGCCGGACGTCCCCTTTCCTGGAACTGTCCTCCTCGACTAGATCCCAGCTCTCCTCTCGGCCGCCCCCCTATCTCTTGAACCCAGCCCCATTCCTTCCCCGTCCACTTGTCAAGGTGGCCAGCATTCACACTCCTAACCCCAACAGTCCCTTCTCAGCCAGCCAAAACTGTCTAGTGTGATAGAGTTCGTGTTTTAAGTGGAAACATGAAAGGGGTCCTGGGGGCACCGTGGGTTAGGTGTTAGGCTGCTGATGGGAAGGTTGGTAGTTCAAACCTACCAGCCACTCCAGGGAGGATGTTGAGGCTGTCTGCTCCCATAAAGATGTACAGCCTCGGGAACTTGATGCTGTGGGTTACAAGCTGGGCTGCTATAACTGCAACCCATAGTTATAGCAACCCAAGAGAGACTAGAGGATTCTACTCCTGTAAAGAGTGACCATCTTGGACACCCACGGAGGCAATCCTAGCCTGTCCTGTAGGGTGGCTGTGAGTCAGAATGG